GGGAAACCAGTATCCTTTTGTTTCGAGAGCTTTTTTCATCACCAACTGGTGGTGTCACCTTGCTTAATGCACGTGGTCTCAGTCGTAGAGATGCTCACACCTCCTACTCACTGTTATATATTAATGGGCTATTGCACAGGTCTCTTCTTCATCTTAGACTTTTCTCTCATGACAGAGAAAAGCAAGAAAACACGAGCAAACCTGACTAAAGCCATGTCACAAACAGTGAGACCTTTCTCAGGGCACTGATAATGGGCACACTGGAAGATGAATGTTGCCTGTGCTGCTGAGTCCCAACAGTCCTAGGCCTCTTCAGTGCTGGAAGCCTCTTTCCAGACGAGCAGCACCTGAGACCCCCAGGCCCCTGCATGCTACGTGCCTGATGTATGTGCCCTTGGGAGCAACAGAAGAGTTGCACACAGCAGACTGTAGCTGGTAACGCAGGATAAGGAAGTCAGTGGGTGACCACATTTTGTGCAGTGGGAACCCGGCAGTCGGCCAAGGTCCCTCCCTGCCGAACCACTGCCTTGCCCCCACGCAAACCCACAGTGCATGTGAATCCCATGGGAACTGCTACATGGAGCAKACACTGGAAAATACTAAGAAAGGAGCTGGTGCTTGCGTCACTGCGAGGCAGGAGAAGCCGGCATGCCTTGCTCCTCCAGAGCTCTGCAGGAGCGAACTGTCTGCAAAGCAAGTGTCCTCCCAGCCTGTGAGGAGCACTATCTTATTAAACTGACACACTGATTTGCTGTGGCTGTGTTTGGTAAAGCCACAGGAATAATTACATGTAAATCTTCAATGTGGGTTAAATATGGGTTGGAGATTCAAATGTCTGATACTCTGCTCTTGCCGCAGAAACAAACACTGCTGAGCAGGAGAGGATCTCGCTATCAGTTCAGCTGGAGACTTGATGAGAAGTATCTTTTCAAATAGTGTGAAATTCAACCCAAGACACATGAGAGAAGAATGAACTTGTTACAAGGAAGTAAGCTGCTGTGCACCAAATTCTGCTTATCTTAATATGCTGCAAAACATTTTAGATACAAACAYGTATTAGCAGAGAATAAGCCGCTGAATGAGTAAAGCATGCACATACCAGATGGCAAGCTGGAATGATTAACGGAATTGACAGAAGTAGAATAGTTTGAGATAGAAAAACTTGGCCTTAATATATCCCATTCAGCATGAAACCTCTCTCAGGTCATGGCAGGGGAGYTCAACCTGTGAAATTTCTCACTTCAAATATATTCTACATCAAAATCGGTAGCACAGTGATCCTCCTGGTGGGCAGACTGTAAGGTGACTGCATTTCAAATGCTTCTCCTCCCACATTAGTGCAGCTTCACCCTTTGTATTCCCTTTCAGAGCTCAGCATCTGAGCCCAGCTCTCCCCAGTTCTCAGCACCTTTCAACTGAGCTGTAAATTCTTGCAAGTCCCAAGAGATTTGTGGGAGCAAGGTGCAAGACGTGCTCAGCTCCATGGCCCAGGAATATGTTCTCTTAGGAGGCCACTGAGGCCTTCTTTTTACAGGAAAATCTTCAGTTCATTAGGCTTTCTTTTCAATTTAATACCAAAACATGGAGGTTTTGTTCAGGCTATTTTTTTTTCTGTAAAATCCTTCACAATTTGCTTTTGATCCTGTGCATGGGAAATATGCAGGACCCTACAATGGACCAAAAATTTAGGTTTAAGACACAAGATTCCCCAATGTTTGGAGGTACATGAATCCCATGCTGGTGGCTCAGTATAAATCGAGAGATATGAAATAGGATATAAATTGAAGAGATGAAACAGTTGTATGTTTGCAATAGAAATGGCAACTCCAATCTTCAGTACCTGGGCAAGGCATTAACAGAAGCATCACCGGGAAATACAATAGAAAATCAAACTGGCAAACCCAACTGTACTTCCACATTTACAAGGAAACATTAAAGCTAAGCTGGATCTGCACCTCTTTAGCTGTATGTACCTCTGATGAGCTCAGCCTTGTCCTCTGGCCAGTTTGCTTCCAGCCTGGCACACGCAGACCCGGAGGAGACGGACAGGGGAGCAGCAGGGAGCGCGTCCTGGCTGCAAGCAGCGCTCGGAGCTAAAAGGGGCACCCCTGCACTGGGTCCTGATCTGCATCTCCTCTCCTCTTCTTCTATATGTAATTATCAGCTATGTTTAATGGATCTAATATAAAAAGCATTTTTTAAAAAGGAAGATACTGAAAAAGCCACTGTTCTATTTTGAAACAAAATAAAAAATATCCTTAGAAATGACTGAAAAGTATAGGGCAATTTTTTTTTTATAGATCCTATTTCCCAATTGGAAAAACTTCCCCATCCGAGGCATGAAATACTTTCTGAATTAAACTGATAGGAAGAATTCAAAACCTTATTTATTAACAAAGAGATTTTTCGACATTACACTGGAATTGTGAGAGCTTTCTTTCTATGACACTTTTTTGAGCTCTATACGCTAGTATTGTTCAAAGTGTTTCCATCAAAAAGAGTAATTGCATTTTTTAGTAGAAACACTAGAATTTCAAAAGATATGAGCCATGTCAGCTACTGCAATAAATGACTTATACAGACACTCATGCAGAATGTTGCCTGATTTGGGGGGTTTGACTGRGAGGCTCCTGAACACAACAGCAAAGCTCCCGCTAACTAAAGGAGTAGCCTATGCTGGGATTAATTGTACACAAGTACAGCAGTAGTTCAGTTCATTTGATTTTCTAGTAGATTTATTAATGGACAAGTCCAGGAAATGAAGTAATTATAGTAGATGCATGTGATAATATGAACACATGGTGTGATGTATATAAATAATTAGAAGATATAAAATAAAATACAATTTGCAAGCCATTTTTTTTTTAATCTATCTTGGGGAAAAGACACATAAGTTAATACTACTGCCCATTTCCTGGCTGGCTACATTGAACAAACATACCTACATGCTTTAGAAGCTGACATATAAGCAAAATGCACATTCACTGCAAATTTTTTCACTATCAGTACTGCATTACCAGTGCAGTTTACTCAAGGTTTAAATCAGTGTTAAACAAAACTAGAACTAAGGAGCAGATTGCAAGGCAGAAACCCAAACACGACTGCAACCAGGGGGATTTTGTCTCTCACTTCTTTTACCAGCTCTGAAAAGTACATTTTAGCATAAAGACCTGGACAAACAAACAAAAAATRCTTTATAAGAAATTTGGTTCTGACTTTCTTTTTTGATGAAAGTTTCTCCTTTTCAAGGAAAAATATAACAGTTTTTTAGCTCTTCAGAAGTCCAAGAGCTGCACTAAAATGCAGCACAGGGGAATGAGAGCATAAAGGCAGACTAAGATTATAAAGTCTCCAACTAATCCCCACAGGGTAACATAGGTATTCTTACATTAAGCATTTCGGCATCAAAACTTCTATGACGTTCTTGCTATCCATAGCTCTGAGTGGAAATTTTTAGATTTCTTTCTTTCTTTTTACTGGAGGAGAAACTAAATCCTATCCTTTTTCACTAGAACAGGAACGAGGAAAACTGTAGTCCAGCTGTACCTCTRCTCACATTTCCCTTTCTTTTGATTGCCTTTCAAAATCCCATTCCCTCCTCCTCTCCATTTGTTCCTCCTTCTTTCTCTCCCTCCACCCTCAAAGGCCTTTTCAGACTTGGTCATATGAGGAGCAATCCTCCGTGGACACCTCTAGGAGTTAGAGTAGCTCCTGCACTGCAGGACTGGATCTCAGCAACAAACCAAGGAAGGGGCAGATTTAGAGACTAGAGCTAATGGGGTGGATGTCTTGCAGTGCCGTATATCACCTAACCAGAATTTGACTTAGCAGGAGAACTCTCACTCTTGGTTGGTAATACCCTGGCCTAGGAACTACATTTACTTTCTTTTGGAGAGATGGTTCTGCTCATTATGAGTAGAGGCGGCAGACTGAGATCCTTAATTTATGAGAAACATTTTCTTTCAGTCTTGTAATTCTAGCATTCATTTATAATAAGGCAGTTTGTGATTTCTGAAGACAAATTCTGTTTTTCYATTTAGGATATATGTTCTATACCTGCATGTTCACAGAAGAATACTCAAGGGGCAAATAAAGTGAGGAGAAGTGCTGTGTCAGTGATTTGCTGGCTGCTTCCGCTTTGCTTTGACAGCAGAGTTTCTGCTTTCAGGCAGATATTCAGGCAGTAGTTTAACAGACAAGAAGTGGCAGAGATTTCAGCAGCAAATGGATGAACAGAACATGGGCAAGGAAAGGGCATTTCTCTACATTCAGATTTGGTTTTCTTAAAAACTGCAGACGTGCCTAAACCTTTCCAGTAAGCTACAAAGTTGTGCAGCTGTCTCCTTCCTCAACTCCTTCCAGATTCAAATGCAAATCAAATTTGATGGCCTTAGTGTGTAATTTTCTGCTACAATATACCATGCTATGCACATTAAAGAAATTAGAATTCTCCATCTTTTTTTTTTTTTTTCCTTTTAAATCAATGGCGATATCTGCATTAACTTTTACAGGACTGGATAAAATGCTGAAATGGGAATCTTCAAGGTTTGTGGCATTTCTGCAAGGAAACTCTGMTACAATCATAGCTGTGACTCAGGTTAACAAAGGCAGGAGAAGGAATGCCACTTGATCCCTAGAAAGGGTGTTAGTACCTGTCTGGGTTGTCTCGGAAATGCCACAGGTTAGATTTTGACACATCAGGGAGTAAGCTGAGACTGATGGGGTTGTACTCAAGGATGCCCTTGTTCACAGAGGAGCGAAAGGAGGAGGAGCGAGTTACAGCTATCAGACCTTTTGTGAGGAGTTGTTAAACACTCCTCACACATCTCAAAAACAGTGAGGAGAAAATAGAGAATTTAAAAAGAATTATGGGACACATCAAAAATCTTTAACCGATGAGGTCAAATAGTATTAATAGCTGAGAAGTCAAGGGACCCTAAAGACTGATGAGCGTCTCCAAAACACACAAACACCCAATGAATAGGATTAGAAGTACTTACTGTTTGGATCTACATTTTCACAAAGCTCTGTTTTTGCTTCGCCATTGGGCCTGTCRCTAGGTTTGTGCGAAAGCCGTGACGACATGGTCGCTGCTGTTACCACAGCCTTGAAGCTGCGCTTCCGCTTCTGGACGTTTAGTTCAGGATGGAAGATGATGATGTACACTTTCGGCATGTAAAGCATCCCCAGGGCCACTGAAGCACTTAAGTTCATGGATATTGTAAGTGTGGTAGTTTGTATGTAGAGCTAGGAGACACAACACATGAGACACTATTACAAATAAAATGATTGGCAAGCARGTTGTAGTATTTAAATACAAAGCATTAAATATAATCAATCTAATAGATACRAGTAGCTACAGCTACCTACCCCACCACCCCGCGGCAATGTGAGGCCACAACCACAGTGCCCTACTGAAGGTCTCCCTGCTGAATGATCTCACAGCGCTGCTGTTAGACATTTTTCGCAGCCATGTAGTACACTTGCCGGCTGTTCTTCCCTGCAGAGTCACTATTTACCTAGTTATTCCTCCCCTTTTATTTCACAGTTCAATGTTATTGCAATAGATACATATTCTCTCTACCTGTAAGTACATAAGCACTATGCATATTTATCTTATACTGTATAAGGACACTTAAAAGAGAAGACAGTTTACAAGGCATTTGTTTCTTTGGAGCTGACTCTCCTCTCGGTAATGTTGGTGTAAATCACCTGTAACTCACTGGKCGTCGCTTGAACTGCGCTGACATAAACACCACTGAATCAAGTTCTTATTGAATAAACTTAATAGCTCTTTAAGATTTGGAAATGAAGCATGTAACACGCCAGGGCTGGAGGATAAACAGGAAGACACCCTCTTCATCTTCAAAATGTTTGTAAATGAGTATTGACTTTTATCTTTGCTAAATAAGATAATCATTATTTCTATTTTATAAAGAGCTGCTCCAGCAGTGCTAAAAGCTGCAGGTACCACCACCTCTGCAGGCCAGGAAAGCGTCGGGACTGCATAAATGATGGACTGCATGAAATTGGGGCTACTTCTCAGCCCTGTATCCAGACCACCCGTTGCTCTATTAATAATTCTGAAGAAAGCTTGCAGAGCTAACGGCCGCGGAGCTCCTGGGTCAGTCTGAGAAGGCTGGAGGTCTGTAACCTGCTTTCATATGAATTCCCTATGTATATATGCCAGATCTGTAGCTAAAACTGACAGGCACTGAATGTATAATAAGCAGTATCACTAAATGAAATCTGCATTTCTAAAAGGTCAGAAGAGATCTGTATTGGTGAGGACTTCTCTCATATATACATATCAGGATTTTCAAGTGACATTTCCCTCAAGAGCTGTCTCAAATGACTCAGACTTACAAAGTCTATTGGAGAAGCCATATAACCATATATACGGTGCAAATGCATAGTAGTATTTTGACTCACTTTTTTTGGAAATCAGAAAAACCTTTACAGAAAAAGGAATTTGGACTACAGCAAAAAGGAAAAAAAAAGGAAAAAAAAGGAAAAAAAAGATAAAAGGAAAAAGAATAAAAAAGACAAAGGAAAAAGGAAAGAAAAGAAAAAAAAAAGCCAATGACAGAAACTGTTTAATGGCTTATTAGTTTACACAACACAATTAGAAATGTTTGAATATGAATATTCCCCATCCAAATCCAATTTCCATTTCTGCAACTAAAGCAACAGGAATTTAAACAGCTCTAAGTTAAGCAATGCAACTGTATCATCACAGTATGAGGACGAATGGATGGTTGCCATAGACACAGGGCATTTGACAGTAATGAAAAAATCTTAGAAAAGCAGAAGGAAAGACACATACTAAAGTAATATTTCTAAGGTAAAGCAAGGTAAGGCTATTTTAAGGCAAAAAGCATTATGTTGCAAGACTTTTTTCACATGGATCCTCAAATAGGAAGCTATTTGATAGGCCTGGCATTTTCTGATTTCAGATTATTTTCGTATATGACACTGATGCGTTGTTTTCAGAAGCAGAAGACAAGAATAAGKCCAGATTTCAAACATCATGAAGAAAATGGGATCCGTGCGCTCACAGCTGCCCGGAGCAGGACGCACGCGGCTCACGGAGGCTGCAGCCTCGCAGAGCAGCTGCCCCTCGCCCCGCAGAGCAGGGCTCCAGCCCGCTACCCACCCTGCCAGGCCCTCCTTCCTACCCAGGCCCGAATTAGCCAACGGACAAAGGAAGTCATTGGCTCCACTGGTCTGTCCTCCCGTGTTGTGCAACAGAAACAAGAGCACGACAGAGCTCTGAGGCCACCACAGAGCTGAGTGCCAGGGTGGCAGATGAGCTGCTCTTGCTTTTCCCATTAAAAAGGTAATCATTGAGTGTGGCATCCAGGTGCTACCTTGCTGCAGGCCACTTTGTGAGCATGGCTGGTCATGGGACTCCTCTGTGCTGATGGGCTCCTGGGCCCAAAGGGTAACATGTTTATCTGAGGATATTAAGAGGAAATTACTACTTGGTCAACAGGGTCTTTTGCAGTACAATGCCAGCAACATTTCCTCCCTTGCAAATYCAGATGAGAGATAAAAGCAGAGTAAGAAAAACGGTTCTCTAGAACAAGAGGAGATGAGTGACATAAAATGCTTCTCACAGCAAATGGGAGCCTTATAAAGATAAGGGAAACTAATAGATGTGCTTATTATGCAGAATCTTAGTTTTATGCATTTTATCTCTGCTTTGTGACTTTACAAGTCAAACATAAAAACACAGTTTACATGAAACTGTTTCATTTCTTATTTCACTTTTCTGATAAATTCTCTGAAAGCATTTTAGATGAATGCAAGTTGGTGGCTTAAAATACAAAAGATAAGATTTAACTTACAATGGAAGTCTTAATAATTCATGCATAGCTTTTTTACAGATGGACACTGAAATCTGGTAGTCTCCAAATCTGAGAGCAAATTAAGAAATTAAGATGTAAATTTTAGTGAGAGATGCTGTAACTTGACATGAAGGAGAATTGGGATTGAACTAAATACTTCCAGTGAAAGGCATAACACTCTTTGCTCCCTGCAAGCCACTGCCATGGCTGTTTGAAGCTCTATTTGCTTTGCTGCAAGGGAAAGGTCCGTTCTGGATGGTCACTTCCACTTACATGTGTCTCTCTCAAAGACCAGCTCAGACTATGCAGCTGGACACAGATTTCTTGCCAGGAAGACGTGGGTTCAGAGATGACAACCAACCATCATGGACGACGACCACCACAGGCAGAGATGACGACCGAGCCCAGCGGTGTCATCCTCGCTACCAGCACCAGTTGGGCACATCCCGGYGCGCTCCCCGCCTCCCCTTGTCCTCCCAGGGCCCAGGAGGCCCCTYGGTGTGACACCAGGACAGATCACGTCAAGTGAATGAACTTGGCGCTGTCACTGCACGTTCCCATCGGCTGCCGTTGACTGTCCGGGCGCTGTCCCGCTGCTGGCAGGCGCTCCCGGCGCGGCGCCTCCTCGGAGCCCRCGCGGCTGCGGGGTGCCGGCCTGCGCTGCTACCCGTTAGCAAAACACCGAACCTGCCGCGTGCCCGCATGCACCACTAACTGGAAAAGAGGAGTCGGAGGTGTCTGGGCGCTGTCCTAATGGCTAAGCTAGGCTCACGTGGCCTGGCACTTACTCAGTATTTGGCTACGTCCCAGAGCCTTTCTTACTATGCACATTATATGTGTTTGCATCCTGACTGTTGCCAAGTATGGACTGCTCTGATGAAACAGGAATGACGACATCAGGATCCATATTTTGAAAAATTTCACTTAGTGTTAACCACACCACTAGAAACGGATCAAACTTCCAAGCAGCACACTGAAGAAAGCTGAGCCCTGAGGACATCATTTGCATGYAAAGGCACCTAGATTTTATCATTTGTTTTACATAAAGGATTGACATTTGAATTTTAGATTCCCATGTTTTCCAGATTCTTGCTTTATTCATGCGAATGATGAAAATTGCCTTAAAAACCTTGAGAGAAAATTTGACTCATCCTGAATACAAACATCTAAACCCCAAGTTTTACAGCCCAAACAACACTGTTGGACAAGTCTGGGTGAGCTACAATAGATCTCAGATGTAAAGCACTGTGGCACAGGCCCTGCCTCTCTAAGCCAGTGGACAGCTCTCCAGCTGCTCAAGCACAAAACTGAAGTTGTAGCAATATTTTTAATAAAAGTCTTTTTACAAGTTAGAAATACTTTTTGTAGCCTAATGCTTTGCATTCACAGTCTGATCAGGGGCAACTGCTCCTTTTATCTAATTCAGCTTTTTAATCATGCAGTGRATTGAGTTATTTTATAAAATGGAAATAAATTGGTAACTCAAGATATTTTTGGACTTGTGTTATCGCAAACTAATTTATCTCATTTTTATATGGGAATTAAAACAAATGTTCTYACATATTAAGTAGACAGCACACAGATCTCCCAGAAGACTCTTTCAGGTCATCTGAAGATTTCATTGCATTCCTTATATTATGTTACATAAATATAAGGATGAGAAATATTTYTTAATAAAAATTAAAATTAGCTCCCGCTGTCTTATGTGGCTGCAAAACCACGCAAAGCAAAAAATCTTGAATATAAATGTCACACCAGGCAACTTAGTGTCTAATGCCTCCATTCACTGAAGATACTGCAGCATTAAAGACAAATAAAAACAGAGGAAAATACCTTTTTTCAAAGAACACTATGTTTCTTATACTCAGTTTTGCTTTGGAAATATCACTGCCTTCTACACCCAAAATGGTTGTGACCGTCTGTGCATCTGCATAGGTAACTACACAGCACCTAAATATTTTTCCAGAGAAAACAGAGTCCCTGGTGTGCACAGCCCCTAGGGCTGCGACAGCCACGCCAGGAACGCGGTTATGGCTGCAAAGCCAGGCCGTGCAGTGCCATGGTGGCAGCTCCCGGCTGCCCGGGCTGCTCCCGGGAGAGCCGTGCTGGCACCACGTGGTGCCGAGCGYGGAGGGCCCTGCCTGGCCCCGCAGCCCTGCGGGACAGGCCCTGGGACAGTGTGGGCCGGAGCAGCGGGTCCCCCTCRGAGCGGGGCGCCGGGGGCTGAACAGCAACTCGAGACTGACAAGGCACACAAACTGTCACGCTTGCTAAGCTTTAAAAATGACAACAGATGCTCCCCAGGGGACATTTGATAAACAAATGATAGTAGTTATGATGATTGCAGTTATTACTGTACCAAATAGCAAGGCATGCAAATAGCCTTTGTGAAATATC